TGTGCCCCGAAACAAAAAGGCTGGTAGAAAGGACTAGTCATCAGCATTGCCTGTGGTCTCCATGTAGGTGATCTTTTCCCCATTATTAACTTACTATGCCTTGCTCTGCACTGTCTCTGTATGGACACAGCCAATTTGGTAGAGGCAGGGCTTTGCTTCCTCATGTTAGAGCCTCCAGCAAGGAGAACAGTGAGCAACACAATAGTGACACCAAACCTCACCCCAAATGTCTTGAGAACTAGCAGTCAGAGGCAGCGGCGCCCTAGATCGCTACAGATGTACAGCTATGAGGCTGAAGAACAGGAGTGCCTAGACACCTTCACATGCCAGGAACTTGAAGTACACGGCTATAGTTCAGGAGAAATTAAAGACGAGGTGTTCATTTTTCAAGTTATTGCCTCTATACAGACACATGGCGCAGAACAAGGCATGCTAATGGGGAAAAGATCACCTGCAGGAATGACCAGAGGTGGTACTCTTGATTAGTCTTTTGCCCTCCACCTGACTTTTTTTGGGCAGTGTTGTTGGTGTAGAACACCAACAACACTAAACCAGTCTCTGTGTCCACCTGTAGCTGACTGGGTTAAACTAAAAATCAGTATGCCTTTCCTGTCTGTGGCACCACCTGCTCATAGTTCATCGACCCTTTCCACATAAAGAGCTCTGTCTTTATTGCCCACCTCCTATAAAGCATCTCAATCCCAATTGTGTCCCCAATGGAAAGTCCATCCCTTGTGCTTTCCCCCAACATACCAGGACATGAGTGTCAGGGTAAAGCAAATAACACACGTATAGCATAAAGATCATGACCTTAAGCATTTCTTTAACAATAAAATACATATTTCACAAAAAGATATATTATTAAAATAAATATTACTTTGGGGCTCAAAAGCCTACAGACAAAGCCATGACCTTGAAATAACCCTGCATTTCCCTCTATAGTGTCTTGGTGGCTGCTGAGCATATAACACTTTTAAACAGTAACAAATAAAAGTAACAACTACTGAAAATTATTCTCTGGCTGACTAAAGAAATATTTTAAACAACTTAAACATTCCAAGCATTGCAGGTGTAGAATTTCTGCCTCAAGACCAAAAATCTAAACCAATGATCGGCCATGTTTAATTTATTTTTCTACCTGAAAATAAAAGAGGGTTAAAGGAGAACTATGGCGTCAGGGCTTTTCCCCAAAGTTCTCCTTAGGGTAACGGGAGGACACAAACTAGCGCCCTCCCGTCACCCTAGGCTCAGTATACCGCTAGCTGTAGCCCGCGGTATACTGAGACGCCGCAGCTGAAGCGGATCCCGACAATTGTGCCGGGATCCGCCCAGCTGCGTGACTGACAGCTGGCTCTGCCTATCTAGAGGCAGAGCCAGCTGTACCCGCCCCCTCGCCCGTCCAATCCACCAGTCAGCGCTGGCGGATCGGAGCGGGGGGAATCCAGCCCCTCCCCTGTCACGGCAGAGAGCCGTGACAGGATCGAGAGGTGAGCGAACGCCGTTATGTGTTCACTCACCTCCCGATCTACTGAGCCGACCTGTGACAGTCTCATTGTCACAGGTTGGCTAGAACTATGAGGTGAGTGAAAAGCACTCCCCCTCATAGTTCTCCTTTAAAGAACTGGACAGTCCTGGTGGACTAAATGTCCCTCGGGATTCACTGGGTCTTGGAAATTTCCTAGCAGCCAAAGTTCCACCGGTGAACGGGTGGTGGTGGGGGTTATAGGGATCAGTTTTATCCATAGCAAGGCATGACTGCCAAAGAATGGTGAGGTCCCTCCATTCAAATGCAATAAGGAATTTGGGCCGGATGTAGACTATATTTATTGACATTTACATCAAAAGCAATTTAGATATCGGCACATGAGATGAAAAGTAACCGCATATCAGTCACAGACTCACTGCAATTCTATCAACTGCTTCAAAAGATGATTCTATTCCAGCTTGATACAAAAAGGGTCCATCATAGCAACATAAGTCCATTTAATAAAAATGTATCAATTAAAAAAATTATAATATCACAATATTTTAAACCAAACTGATCCTCTTAGAGTGTTGTTACTACGCAGTGATACCTTATTACAACGTTAAAACTCCCATTATAGACAACTCTAAGTTTAAAGGAGAACTTTGGGGTCAGGGCTTTTCCCCATAGTTCTCCTTAGGGTAACGGGAGGACACAAACTAGCGTCCTCCCGTCACCCTAGGCTCAGTATACCACGAGCTATCGCTCCGCCTATCTAGAGGCAGAGCCAGCTGTACCCGCCCCCTCCCCGTCCGTTCCGCCAGTCAGCGCTGGCGAATCGGAGCGAGGGGAATCCAGCCCCTCCCCTGTCACTGCAGAGAGCCGTGACAGGATCGAGAGGTGAGCGAACGCCGGTATGTGTTCCCTCACTTCCCGATCTACTGAGCCGACCTCTGACAGTCTCATTGTCACAGGTCGGCTAGAACTATGAGGTGAGTGAAAAGCACCACCCTCATAGTTCTCCTTTAAGAAAAATGTAATTCAGCCAAGTGACACAATCGATTAACACCCGTTACAGAACCCGGGGGAAAATTCTAACATTTCCTAAATCGAGGCATCGTTAAAAAATGAATTAATTGAAATAAAAGCCACACTGTCAAATACTTTTTGCCACCTCAAGCTACAACTCCCAGCATTCCCAACATTTGTTAAATTCTTTTTTTTGATGCATTATTATTAAGACCCCGCTCACACTGAGCGATTTATCGTGCGATTTCAGCTCCAAAATCGCTCAAATATCAGCTCAATGTCGCTCAGTGTAGCTCGTCCAATGCATTTCAATGGAGCTGTTCACATCTCACAGCTCACTGTCGCCTGTAGCTTGTCGCTCATACATGACCTATTTTTCAGCGGATTTTGTGCGATTTGGCCCAATAGAGTTTAAAGGAGAACTATGGGGTCAGGGCTTTTCCCCATAGTTCTCCTTAGGGTAACGGCAGGACACAAACTAGCGTTCTCCCGTCACCCTAGGCTCAGTATACCGCGAGCTGTAGCTCACTATATACTGAGACGCCGCAGTATATAGCGCGAGCTGCTGCTGCTCGCGGGATCCGCCTAGCTGCGTGACTGACAGCTGGCTCTGCCTATCTAGAGGCAGAGCCAGCTGTACCCGCCCCCTCCCCCGTCCGATCTGCCAGTCAGCGCTGGAGGATCGGAGCGGCGAGGGGGGAATCCAGCCCCTCCCCTGCAGAGAGCCGTGACAGGATGGAGAGGTGAGCGAACGCCGGTATGTGTTCTCTCACTTCCCGATCTACTGAGCCGACCTGTGACAGTCTCATTGTCACAAGTCGGCTAGAACTATGAGGTGAGTGAAAAGCCCCTCCCCCTCATAGTTCTCCTTTAATGGTGTAGCTCAATGTCGCGCTACAGAAGTGTCACTTATGCACAGAAATATAAGAAGGAAGGAATGATGTCACATCAAGACTGCTTTTGATTGGTTACAGCCCAATGTAGCAGCTATGAAGTCTCTGTGAAAAGTCGCGCGACAAAATGTGCACTGTAATTCAAAGTAGCTCAATGTCGCTCAGCTCAAAATTTTTTGGATGTAGCTCGGTGTGAACGGGGTCTTTAGGGGGAGGCAACCCTGGCACTCCAGCAGTGCTGAAACTACAATTCCTATCATGGGAATCGTGATAGGAATTGTGATCACCTCTGGGTGTCATTGCTTGTGCATGCCAGAGACCTGCAATGCCTCATGGGACGTGTAGTCCCACAACAACTGGAGTGCCGAGGTTGCTGACCCCTGCATTACTATAAAGTAGTCATGTTGCTTCTATATACACATCGACCTATCCAACAATTAGCCAAAAAGGCAATGACTGCGTGCAAAGTTCTGTAACCCGTGGCAACCCAGAAAACTAATGTGATTTCTGATTTGTCGCCGTGGATTGGTTTGCTGCTTCTAAACTGCCCCCAAAAATGACTCATTTGTAATCATAGCGAACGCGCTGCAAGCGAATGAACAAACATTTTAATTGAAAATCGTGATTTAATTTTATGTTAAGTGCATTTTAGATTTAATTAAAAATACATTTTTGATTATAATGTGAAAACAATTATTTATTTATATATTATAGTTTGAAAAGGATTCAGATTCGGATTATTGAAGGCCGGGAGATTCCTCCTATTCGAGAAGCCCATGCACCCATCAAAGTCTAGCACTGGTATAGAAATCCTCCAGCAGGCTGGGAGATTGCTTCCATTCGGGAAGCCCATGCACCCATCAAAGTCTAGCATCTGTTTAGAAAGCCTCCAGCAGACTGGGAGGTTCCTCCGATTCCAGAAGCCCATGCACCCATCAAAGCCTAGCATTGGTATAGAAGTCCTCGAGCAGGCTGGGAGATTCCTCCCATTCGGGAAGCCCATGCACCCATCAAAGCCTAGCATTGGTATAGAAGTCCTCGAGCAGGCTGGGAGATTCCTCCCATTCGGGAAGCCCATGCACCCATCAAAGTCTAGCATTGGTATAGAAATCCTCCTGCAGGCTGGGAGATTCCTCCCATTCGGGAAGCCCATGCACCCATCAAAGTCTAGCATTGGTATAGAAATCCTCCTGCAGGCTGGGAGATTCCTCCCATTCGGGAAACCCATGCACCCATCAAAGCCTAGCATTGTTATAGAAGTCCTCCTGCAGGCTGGTTGATTCCTCCCATCCCGGCAACCCATGCATGTTGCGCCCACCAGGTTGGAAATCTTTTGCAAAGGGGGCAATACCCAAACTGTTAGAACGGCTGCGCGCCCCTGGGAGAGATTTGGAAGCAGCTAGGTACTGCTTGCAGGGTAGTGAGGCTGAGTCTGTCCAGCTTTACTGCAAGTAATACCAATGCCCTAGATGAAGCGCAGCTTCTACCCAGCCCTTGCCACGCAGGTCTTGGCATTAGTGAGACTCCCTTTGAATCTGGCAGTTGCGGTTTGCCTGCCGCACGGCGATGCCAGCCAGCTCCCCATGGCACACCACCCCTCTCTTCCTACTCACTTGTCCCCTTGCCATCCTCCAGCGTCAGGTAAGTGGTGTCGGTGGTCTCGATGTAAACTTGGCTGTGGATATTCCAGAGCTGGGAGCCCGGTCTCCCGCGGTACCACTCCGCTGCATCCATCTGAAGCCTGGAGAAAAGGGAAACAAAATTATAAAAGGACGTCTTTCTTTTTTTTTTGTGTTTTTTTCAGCAGCTATTTTTAAACCCGGTATGTGACTAAGACAAGCAATCTGCTCGCAGGAGGAGAGAGAATGACATCCTACCTCTCGTCTGCTGCCGTTCTGTAATTTTCCCCTCTTTTTCCTTTATCCTGTGCATGTTCTATCACAGACGCACGGCAGCGGGGCCTGGTGTGCATAATAACACAGCCGGCTCGGGAAGGGTTAACGAGCATCCACGAAATGCGGAGGGCTTAACCCCTTCGCCGCCGCCTCCTCCATCACACACTGCAGAG